TTCGCCAATCCCTTGGAGCAGAGGGTGCTAACCGCCAAGAGCGATGCTGGCTCTCCACTCCCAGGTAAGTCAACTGAAGCTGGGAAGAGTGAGGCATCGAACCTAAGTCAGCACTCTGACTCAGGGGTGCCTTCCCCTCCCACTGCAGTGCCTGGGCTTTCACAGGGGGAGCTTTTAGGAGACTTTGCTGGAACTGGGGAGGGCGCAGGCTGAGGTCTCTTAGGTGGATTCAGTCCATCTTCCCTCAGCCTAAATCGGCCATCAGTTACTGACTTGACCCCAGAGTGAGCCCTCCACTCTCCGCCTGCCTCCTCTGCTCCCTCACGGACTGGCTTCCGGCCGAGACCTGTCTGCGGAGAAGTAGAGGCGAGGATGAAGGTCTGCATTGGCAGTGGCACCTCAGTCACAGACGTTCTCCGTCAACCTTTAGATCCTGCACATTGGTGCATCCCTCTCACCTGCAGCATGACTGTAAGGGCCAGGCCCTCAACCGTCTGCACCTCCAGGCCTGCCGGGACGGAGGCAGACTGAAGCTGGAGACTCAGCGAGGGACATTCAGGCGGCGTCCTAGCACAGTGCAAAGTGGGGAGTGGATGGTGTTGGGAGGCAGCACGCTCAGGCGGGTAGAGGTCTCTCACGATGCGGCGCTTCCTCAAATGCACCGGATTGGCAAATTGAGAACCCCTTCTTGTGTTTCAAGGCCATCGAACCCTTAAGAAATCACTGCCCATGGAAAGCTCTTCTATGCTGGCAGAAGGGGGTAAGCATAACACCCCGCTACTAACAGGCTGACCCTGACAGATCAGGCCTCACAAGGTCATGTTTCAAGGGATGTGCTTTGACCTGTAGACGTCAAAGCCAGGTGGCAGTAATGACGAGGATGAGAGGACGGTCTTTTAAGGTTACTTAGCTACTGACCTTCCAGCTAGCCCATCTGGGCTCTCCCCTGAAGCCCGTGGCAATGGGCAGATTCTCCGGCACATGGCAGCATGCTTGTTGCTGAAGAACACTCAGAGCCCTACCCCACGGATGCGTCACTAGGAATACGGGCGGCTGGATTCTTGTCACGGCTTCCACGTTGGGATGTGAAAGGACAAACCAACAGCCACTCTTCGGGGGCAAGGTGAGGTTCCACCCACAGAAAGAGTCACAGCTTGGAAACCCAGGGGGCTGCTTCAGGCCCTGTCCTACAGGGTGGCTATGCGTTGCAATCGACTCGATGGAAGGGAGTTGGAGTTTTGAGTCTCTGGGAAATCAAGAGGATGTTCGTATGGTCAGGCTAATCCTCCACTTGATAAAGGCAGGAAGCCAATCTGATTTATTTCCCCCCCTACCTGGGAATAAAATTAAAACGTGTGATTTCCAAAGTCATGCCTTTAAGATGGATCAAGAGTAGGATGAGAACATAGGAGATAGTAACTATGATATGCACTGTGCTGCGTATCAATAGCCACAGATAACACATATCTGTTGTGGTGGCTCAGTACTGTTGAGTCGTTAGGACGCAGAGTGATTGGACGCACAGCGGACTAAGACACTGCCTGGCCCTGTGCCACGATTGTTCTTATGTTTGAGCCCGTTGTTGCAGCCACTGTGTCAATCCATCTCCTTGAGAGCCTGGCTCTCCTTTTGCTGCCCTGCTACTTTCCCAATCATGATGTCCATTTTCAAGAACTGGTCTCTCCTCGCATGTCCAAAGTATGAGCGATGAAGTGGTCCCCATGTAATAGGATTGAAGGGCATACACAAACTGGGTTGGGTACACCTCAGTCCTCAAAGTAATGCCCTTCTTTCCCGTCCTCTACAGAGGTCTTGTGCAGCGGATTTACACAATGCAATTCAGCATTTGATCTCTTGACTGTAGCTTCTATGAGCATTGACTGTGGGTCCATGAAGACAGAATCTTTGACAACTTCAATCTTTTCTCCTTTTATCACGATGTTACCTACTAGTTCAGTTGTGAGGATTTTGGTCTCTTTACATTGAGCTGTAATCCATACTGAAGAAGGCACCATGCTCGATCTTCATCGGCAAGTGCTTCAAGTCCTCCTCACGTTCAGCAAGCAGGGTTGTGTCATTTGCCCATCGCCGGTTGTCGATCAGGCTTCCTTCGATCCTGATGCTGCATTCTGCTTCTTATAACTCAGTTTCTCTGATTACTCGCTCAACATCCAGATTTAATAAATATGGTGACAGGACACAACCCTGAGGCATATGTTCTTTGATTGTGAACGATGCAGTCGTCCCCTGTTCTGTACATACAACTGTCTCTTGATCCAGGCACAGGTTCTGTAGGAGCACCATGAAATGGTACAAAGCTCGCACTCTGTCGAGGCTAGGCACAGTTTGTCGTGATCCACACACAGTTAGCTTCCTAAAATAGCTGATCAAAGAAGCAATGCTGATCACTCTTCGACTGTTGTTAAGATGATTACACATGTGGTCAGTGAACACATTCCTATCACAATATGTGTTTGAGTTTCACGGACTTTCTCTGAAGGACAAGTCAGTTTTCTTTCACTGTTACCCAAATAATGATCTAAACCTGAACACAGAAAGTCATGCTCCGTGGTGCAAGATAAAGATGTCAGGAGCCGAGGACTGGGGATCACAGAGGCCTCCTGGTCTGAGGTGCTTGCACTGTATTTAGCTCGAGAAGGTCTTCCCTGTGGGGGAGTGGGGATGGGAGAGAGAGACCCTCCATATATTCTGGGTCCAATGAAAAAAAGTATCAGGATGGAAAGCTTCAGAATGTAGCACGACTCTTGGGGAAGTGGTACTTCAGGAATTGTACGATTTGGGGGGCATTAGAGACAGAGGGGCCTCCTTGGGTTGTTGACCAGAGGCAGCATTCCTGGTGATGAGAATGTTTTAAGTCCTTGAGGCTCAAGGGTAGACATGACGAACCTTCTACAACTCCAGACAGAAGATAATTTCTTATCATCTGTCTACTGTGGGGTCCATTGTGGGGAGGCTTTGAGACCCTGTGGGCCAGGTCTTCAGCTAGTTTCCAGTGGCACCCCTACTCCCCCAAATAAATATACCTTCTCTTCGACCTTGAAGAGCTCATAGTCTCATCGCCTTTGACCTTGTCCTTCCACTCCACATCAAGGCCCCGGGGCCTCTGGTGACAGAGGCCAATTTCCTCTCTTTGTATGTCCAACGTTTTCAAGAAGAGCCAAACCAGTAGAACCAGGGCAGGATTACCCAGGCCGCTAGGCATACAGGCTCCAGTGTGCCTGCCCACCCACGTGAAGAGCACCATTTGACCTGTCTTCTTCCACATCAAAGAGGTGCTGAAACCCAAGTGAGATGGCTCACCACAGACTAACAAGCACATGCAGTGAAGCCCATGTGCACCTTGCTCAATGCAATGCAAGCTGGTTTAAGCCATGCATGCTCTTGTTAGGACTCATCGAGTCGGTTCTGAACCACAGCAACCTCATGCACAACCGAAGGAAACACGGTGTGGTCCTGCACCCTCCTCACCACTGTGCCTAGGCCTGAGCCCATAGTTGCAGCCATGGTGTCCATCCAGCTCCTCAAAGAGCCTACCACGCTTACTGGTTCATCCTGCTCGGGAAGCTGAGCAGAAAGCATCCTTCCCCAGGTGCCTTCTGGGATCTCAGGGCTTTGAGTGGAAATTTCTGGAGGTTAAAGAGACAGAGCCTATAACTCAGATGGGATTATTTTCTGTCAAGTGTTGGCAAAAACTCAAATTTCAACCGCAAGACATTGGGGATGTAGTTTACTGATCCAGGAAGCCAGATAAATAAATGAAGAGGTAGATTTTCATTTCCTTTCAGTGAAGTTGGTTGTGGTAATAAACCTAACCACAGCAGAGTGGGCAGGAAAAGGGAAGGTGCTCAGAGCTTCTCTATCAGTCATCAGTGATTCACCTTGCCTTGAAGAAGTGTGTGCGTGGTGTGTGTGTGTGTGTGTGTGTTTCCACTACTTCTAGGAAACCTATTGAAGTTTCGTAAATTGGCTTTCTGCAAGGCAGGTTTGTTCTAACCACACCTAGTTACGTAACAACACACGTTCAACGTGTCCCCTTGGAGTAGCCCTGGATCTACCGAACTTTCTGTCTTCTCCACGTGGTTTGACACATTCATATCCTCCAGCTGAAAACATTGATTTAAGCAACAGACTTCATCACCAAGGGTTGAAGGCAGTGGAAATGCTTCATAACCTATTTTAAATGTTTTTTTTTTTTAACTGCACGTATCTTTCGAGAGAGCTGGCACCTAATGAAGCCAATTTCGAAACAAGATAAGCATCTCACTTCCCAGCAATGACTCATCTGGTTATTTCCGGAGCATGAGCTGCAGCTGGTACATCCTGGTATGGCAGGGATGGCTGTCCAGAGACAAACCTCTTCTGAGCAGCTGGCAACTAGCTACGGTCCCCAAGCCCCAGCCACATTAGTCTCCCCAGGGATCACCCCAAGACCTTCCCAGGAGCCTCTGGACCCATCCTTGATGGATCTGCACCTATGATGTAAAATGCTTTATATGGCATCCCTGCTTTTATGATTACCATTGTCCTAGGGACAATGTCATTCAAAAGCCACCCCAGTAGACCCTTCATTTGCTGCACGCTCCTTTGAGCCCATCATCATGTCTTATCAGATGGACGTAGTAAAACTGGTCGGCTAATACTAAATTGGGGGGTGGGGGTTGGAACCTGGTAAAAAGCTGGGAGTCCCTGGATGGTTCAACTACTGACTCAAAGGTTGGGTGTTCGAGTCTAGCCCCAGAGATGCCTCAGAAGAAACGCCCCGGCAACCTGCTTCCCAAACAGCAACCATTGAAGACTTTGGGCCCAGGTCTGCTCCAACACACAGCGGGGCAACATGCGCCAGTTGATGGCAAGGGCCGCTGGTCTAGGGCTGGGCCCTGCAGTCATGTGTAATGGTGGAGTGGGAAGAGAGCTCTCTGAGGCTGGGGAGGGGAAGGGGAAGAAATACTGGAGAAAAACAGTCATAAAGGGCAGCTCACACGTTGAGGGGCAGCTGGACTTTGGGAGATGTTGCCTGTTCTCCAGATGCGGCACCAGCTCGGGCGACAGCCAGGGTGGCTGATCCGGCAGAAGAGGAGGAGTCCTGTAAAAAGACAAGAGGAGACTTGAGTGAGGGGTCTCAGCGGCCTTTCCCAAAGGAAAGCGAGCTGCAGCATCCCGATGCTGCCCGCCGGCCACGCAGCCCCCACACTGTTCAGGTTCTGATGTCCTGGCTGGGTTTTTAAATGTTTCCCCCTCCACATGACTGGAGGGAGTGTGGCATCAAATGACACCTGTCCCTGCAGCAATTCAAGAGTCCCTTTTTGACCAGCTTAGAAAATCATTCTTTGGTTTGCGTGCAGTTGATCAGCAATGCAGTGTTTTCACTGTGGAAGACAGCATAGGGAGGCAGGTTTTACTCTTATAACTTGAATGAATTCTTGTGTTTGTTAAAGAAAATCTTAACAAAATCTTTTATGGGGCAAAATATGAGCTTATTTAAGATACATTCCTAGGAACTAAGCCTAATCTTTATAGAAAATTGGCCTGTTGATAGTAACCAGGGGGACGGGCTCTAAGGGTGTCAGGGATTTGCTGAGCACGGCGTTTCTCACGTAAGACCCTGAGGTACTCAAAGCTTTGAAAGTCTATTAAGCAAGGAGATTACTTGAAGACAGGCTAGGGGGCCAAGAGAACAGCCACTTCAAGGCCGTGCCTTGTAAGCTTCAGGTGTGAGAGCTCAGCTCCTCAAGGGCAGCGGGCGCTGCACGGAGCAGACGAGCAGAGGAAACCGAGTTACCCAGTGATCTTGCCAAGACAATCCCTGCATGAAGAATCCTGTCCACCTCATCCCAAGAGGCCAGCATTGTGCCTGCACCCACCCGCCACACAGCTAGCTGGTCTATCCTACCTTGTCCTTCCTAAGGCAGCTACGCCGTCATCCTTTTCAGAGGGAGCAGATGCGCAGTGGGTTAGATTGTGTCCCCCTAAAACAGTGGTTCTCAAGCTTCCGAAGGCCATGACCCTTTAATACACTTTCTCATGTTGTGGTGACCCCCAACCATAAAATTATTTTTGTTGCTACTTCATAATTATAACAGTGCTACTATTACGAATTGGGCGACCCCTGGGAAAGGGTCATTGGACCTCCAAAGGGGTCACGCCCCACAGGTTGAGAACTGCTGTCCGAAAAGATCTGTAGTTCCAGAGCAGAGTGTTGAGGGTACCAGGGACTGCTCAAGGGACAGCAGATCTGTCTCGAAAGATGTATGGCCAGAGTGCTCCTTGGAGGCCGGGAGGGAAAGACTTCATCTCACATCCTTGGGACAAATTGTCCATCGAGAAGGTCGTCATGCTCCGTAAAGGGTAGGGGCAGCGGGAGATGTGGCTGCAACAATGGGCTCAAGCATGGGGACAATACTGAGGATGGTGCAGGACTCGGTGGTGTTTCATTCTCTCTCTCTCTCTTTTTAAAACATCATTTTATTGGTGGCTCTTCCAGCTCTTACAACAATCCGTACACTCATTGTATCAAGCACATTGTATATATGTTGCCATTATCATTTCCAAAACAGTTTCTTTCCATGGGAGCCCTTGGTATAAGTAGTGTTTCCGTTCCCTGTGCGGAAGGTCGCTTGGGTCGGCAGCGCCCCGGTGGCATCTAACAACAGCAACCACACAAGGCCCATGGGGGCAGCGTGGACACGCAGGTTTGACGCCCGGCCAAGGTGCCTCCCGTGCAGCCACAGACCTCTGTCATTGGGGTGCTGTGCTTTGCTGTGAGGCTGAACCCCTTTCAGAGGAGCTTCCAGACTAAGCTGGACCAGGCAGATCCCCCGGCAAAGCTAGCTTGGAAAACCAGCTTCTGGCAAGCCTGTGGATTTTCCCGAAGGCCACGTCGGCAGCCGCTCACGGAGATGCAGCAGGGCTGGGGAGGGTGAGGTTCCGTTGTGGGTTGTCGAGTCCAGCGGTGACGGGACAGCAGCTGACAGTAACCAACCATCCACGGCGTTCCTAACCTCGTGAACGGCGTCCTGGGCACACGGTGCGTGATGTGTCGGGTTGCTAACGTCAAGGTGGGCCGTTCTAAATGTCTTACCAGCTCCTCCTTGGGAGAAAGCTCAGGCTGCCTGCTCCGGTAAAGACTTGCAGTCTTGGAAACCCTACGGAGTCTTTTTATAAGGTCGCTGTAAGTCAAAATCGAGTTGATGGTGTGGATTTGCTGGTTGATACTTTGGATTGTTACCCTATTTGGATTAAGGGTCATTCCAGCTATGATTAAGGTCAGAATCTGAGATAAGATCATACGGCATGAGGGTGGGCCCTAACTGCTCTGACCAATGTCCTTATGAGCGCTATGGCGCTATGGTTAGATGCGGTCAGGTCAGTTCTGGCTCCCAGCAACCCTGTGTATAACAGGGAGACACTGGATGGTCCGATGCTGTCCTCACAACGTTTCCAGTGCTTGAACTCATTGTTGCAGCCACCGCGACAATCCATCTTGTCCAGGGCCTTCCTCGACTTTACCAAGCTTGATGACCTTCTCCAGGGACTGGCCTCTCGTGATAACATGTCCCAAGTACATGAAGCCTCGCCACCCTTGCCTCTAAGGAGCATTCTGTCTGTACACATATGTCTCCCAAGACCTGTTTGCTGGTTCTTTGGGCAATCCATGGTACTTTCAATATTCTTCTCCAGCATCACAATTCAAATGCCTCGATTCTTTTTCCATCTTCCTTAATCAATGTCCAACTTTCACATGCATATGAGGCAAGAGAAGGTGCATAGAACCATACAAAGGCGAAGGCCATGTGATGATGAAGGCAGAGAGTACAGGTAGGCAGCTCCAGGCCAAGGACCACCAAGGATTTCTGGAAGCCACCAGAAGGAAGGTGAGAGGCCTGGAATGGGTTCACAATGAGCAGTCCGCAGGGGCAGCAGGACCCCACGCTGCTGATCCCAGACCTCTGGCCTACGGAACTGTGCGAGTGTTGTTTGAAACCACCAACCCGTGGTCATGTGGTCCAACAGCCCTAGGAAGCTGACACCAATGGGAAGGTCTGGGGGTGCTTTGAAGAGAAGGGGGTTCATTTTGCACCAAGTGGAGGGAGTTGACCAGGCATCTCCTTCCTCCCTCAGAGACCCTCGTGGGCTCTCTCTAGAATAGGAACCCCAGAGAAAGCAGATCCACAAGAAGAGAGGCAGGCGGGCTTGAGCAGGCCCTGCAGAACCGCAGAGGACGAGGATGGAGGGTAGGGGGCTGCGTGGCCGCTTCCCCGGGCTCTGGTCGCATCACATGAGCATGTCATCACACACGTGTAAAGTTCACTAGAAGAAGTCACAAGAACGGGGTGGAAGGTCCACTTGGAATCTGCCCTGGGCAGGCCAATTCACCTCTAGAACTTGACCGATCATCATGACGCCATGTCCTTGAACTCTTGTGAAGGGCAAGGGGCACTTTGTTGAGGAACTTACTGACAAGGTCTGACCTTGCTTGGCTAAGCTCTGCCAGGCAGTGCTGCCTGCACCTCACTGATCCTCATGTCCCTGCATGACTGGGGGGTGGTCCAACAGCCCTAGGAAGCTGACACCAATGGGAAGGTCTAGGGGTGCCTTGAAGAGAAGGGGGTTCTCTACCATGGCAAATTCTGTAAGAAATCAGAGATTGGATTTCTTCTCATCTTTTTTTAACCCCGGAGGGAGTGCCCTGGAAGGATTAGAATGTGCCACTGAGAGATGGAGCTTCCCTCATGTCTCCAAGGTGGCTCCAAACCTCAAAGGTCCCCACACTTCAAGCTCTGATGCCTGTGACAGAAGCCTCTGCCATTCCCAGGTCCCCGAGACGCAGCATTCAGGATGTTTTCCCCTCGGCAGACCCCGTGCCGTTAGCAGGTGCACGAAGCCTCATCTCCACAGAGGGAGTGGAGAGGAGTGTACAGTGGTGATGGTGGAAACAGTGGGAGGGAGGTTTCCTTCTCATTACACCTCCTGAAGTCTTCTGTCTGGTGCTGTGTTAGACTGGGTAATTAGAGAAACAAATCCACAGAACCTCATATGTATAAGAGAGAGTTTTATATAAAAGTTAAGTGCACATCAAGAAAACATCCCAACCCAGTGCTACCCAAGCCCACAAGTTCAACATTAACCCATATGTCCAACATCAGTCCACAAAGTCCCCCTCCATCTCACAGAACACACGCAATGACGCCGACTGCAGGAGGAAAGCTGAGTCAGTGAGCATGTAAGCATCTCAGCGCTGGCAGGGGTCTGCACACGGCTGCTCCAGCACCCAGGGCTGCATGGAGGTAGGTCCATGTGGCCTCTCCTCAGGGATGTCCTGCAGGAAATGAGCCTGGCCAGCTAAAGCAGGGAACTGGCTAAGGCAGCTGCACCCTGGTCCAGCCATCAGAAAGCGAGAGACCCGAAAAACTAGAAAGGCGAAGCTCACCAAGCCATTTATCTCTCCGCCCTTCAATTAACCTCATGTGTGTATCGGCCGGGTTGGCACAGTAAACTAATTCTCTTAGTCGCTGTGTCTGCTGTTCTCACTTGCCCATCTCAAGTAAGACGGAGACTAGGAAGGGTTTCCCCTCAATGTTGTGATCACATCACTTCAAGAGAATCAACAGATGAGTCCATCTCAGCCCCACCAGGTCTTTCTCTGCAGAACTTCAGGCAAGGGCAGGGGCAACTTGGAAGGAGGAGCAAAGAAAACGAGGCCGCCTCACTCCAGGACCTGCCCTCTCCCTCTGGGTGGGTCTGGAAAGGGGAGCAGTGCTAGTTTCTTCCTCCTCTGAGTACCTGGTTTCCATTGTGTGGGCATTGGACAAAGATGTGGCAGAACATTCGCGTCTCACACACACACACACACACACACACACACACACACACACACTC